AGTGAAACCAGGCGATGTTTTGGCAAGTCCCGTGTTATGTTCGGAGCTGGTTCTCCTAATAACTATTTTGAGTCCTTTTACGTGAGTACAACTCAAGTGAAACCAGGCGATGTTTTGGTCAACAAGTCCCGTTCGAACGAGCACGCTCCAGTCAGCTTGTCCAGAAAGCATCGTCCAGGGATCGTTCAGGTGGTATGAGATCGCGTAGTGTAACAACACTTTTATTACCAGCAGTAAGCCTGAACTTTTGAAGATAATTAGCCAAGAATTCTGAGGCAGCGAACCTGTTGTATCATGCGTGGCCGTCTATTAGTTACGCCTGCTCTGAGACTGCCAGACTACGCGATAAGGAGGAGACAGAGAACTCGGGACACGGATGTATTGTCCGGACAAAACATACAGAGCTTCTGCGTAAATATATAGGGTGACTAAATGGCCAAATATGGTCGTTCACTTGTTCGTTCCGTACAGCCAATGCCAGTGTTCCGGTCGTGAACAGTGTCAGGCCCACTCCGTTGGTCGTATGTTGCTAAGCCGTGTTTGGTGCGCTCTGCCAACGCACCTGCTTTCCGAACGTGTCAAACCGATGGTGACCTTGGAAATGCGCCACTCTCTGCACATGTACTTTTTCAAGTCTGGTTACGCCCTGACAGAACTCCAACGCATATTACCATAGTGACCGCATCTAACCTATGGGTGTTTTCCAGGCCGGTCAAAGGGAGGACGCGTTATATATACACAGGGGGCCAGGTGGACTGTAAGACACTAATGGGTGGGAGGAAATGACGTTGATTCGGGCCAAAAGACAGGAAACGATGAAAGTTTCGTTCCACTCGAATGAATTACGCTCAAAAAGCAATGGCACTGTTTAGCAGTAGGGAATAAGCAAAGTACTGGTTTTCCAAAAAGAACTTCAGTCTTTCTCGACGTGACAGTTTTCAATCGGAACAGACGGAAAGCCGTTCCTTGTAGTACCTAAGCCGGTTCCACTGATTTCTGGCCCTCAGTTGTGAGCCACTTAGTGTCACGTGACTGGCCCCTGTCACTCGGATTATTGATCGATTGATTGAGTGGACACATACAGACGGCAGTTTGCATGACAGTCATTATCATCATCATCATCATCATCATCATCATCATCATCATCATCATCGACAGCATGATATCAGTGTTCAACACTGATGCTTCACTGCCGTAAATGACAGAGTAAATAAAAAAGTATGCACAAGTCATAAGGGTAGTGGAATATTCTGGAAGAAGTTGAAGTACAGGGGTACTGGATCAAATCGTGGGATCCCAGTTTGGCTAGCATCTGGAGATTTACTTTCTTGAACTTCATTTTATTAAGTAGTCACTCAGTGTTTTTGTTTTTCTGGTATAAATACTGTACCTCTGATTATTTTAAACACGACTTCCAAAGCTTGAACGAGAGAAAACCGCCTGAGTTACTGCCTCTCTGCTAATTTTTTGGTTGGGATTTTGCTGAATTAACGAGAATCTGCATCCTGATTCAAACAATGGTGTAATCACCATGTTCATCGGGAAACCTACACCGGAAGACAAGCATTTTCGGCTTCAGGGTCGATATGGAGCTCGAGGCAGTTGATTGGTTGAGGCGCGAACTAACTGACCGGAAGGTCTGTGGTTCGAAACCAACCACGGTATCTTGACTGCTCCTGTCTAGATTCCGGAAATCTGGCTATCAGTGAGGTCAGCTTCCTGAAAGTAACCACTCAATGCCCGAAATCTACCGAGTCTCTCAGCTCCGCTAGACGTTGACCAGACAGACAACACCCCTCAACATGAAGCGCGTCACAGCCTTGTACCAAACCCAGACAGCGCGAGTCAGCGTTGATCAAGGTCAGACAACGCCACCGCAATATGCAACACGTCGCAGCCAGATCGAGTGCGTCAGCATTGGACCAAGTTCAGACAGTGTCCCTCCAATAAATAGCTTGAAACCGTTGTACATTCACACTCGCACGCACTCACGCTCTCGCACTCGCTTGTTTGTAATATAGCGGTTGTGTTCCCTTCTGCGAGTCTTTTCTCTCGGCAACTAGGCACTGGAGCCGGTCAGCAGCAGGTACCTCAGATTGGCGAATCAGTAGATAACGCTGGCAGTATCACAGCCCTCGTGCTTTGGTCGGGTACCGACGCACCTATGCACCAAAAGGTTGCACCCAAGGTAGTTGGTTACAAAATACAGGTGTGTAAATGAGTACTGTTGAACTAAACGGAGTCCCCTAGTGAGGTAAACACAGCTTGGTGATTGGGAGACGTGTCACGTACGCTAAATTATCATCCACGAAAAGAAATTGTTGGCTGACTAAAGGACTAAGACGCGCTAATCCACATGGAGGGCGATTCGAATCCATGTGGCTTCTTCTCCGAAGTCTGCGCGATATCTCCACACGTGGTTAAAAATTCTACAGAACCTGTCAGTGTCTGGAAGGACTGCCAGATAACTTTTGCCCTTCGCATTATCATACAATGCAGTTGAGTAGAGCTGGCGAAACAAAGTGTGAATCAGTCTCGCTGATGTCATTTGAGTTCGAGGGATTCGCAGATGTTTTGCCCGTTGAAGTCCAAGGAAACGTAATTCTTGGTTATTTGTAGAAAACCATGTGACTTTCAGATAGTAACCGAGAGATTCATCTGGGTTCCAGGTGGGTCTCCCGTCAAAACCGGATTGGTATGTAGAAGAGTGTACTTTTCGAATTCTGTGCAATTTCGGTTCAATTAGAGCATAAAGTTTGTGGAAACTCGGGGACTGCGCCTACCTGATGAGCTCCAAGAAAGGTGAAACAGGTCGTGCGTGGTCGAAGTTTAGTGTTCATGCAGTGCCTTTTGTCTACAATCGATCGCGAGACAGTTAAGCGCCACTTACTGTGACCCCGTTAAACTCACAATTCCGTTCGAATGAAGCAAACAGGTGTTGCTCCTCGGTGATTAAATATACTTGCGATTCGATTACTCAAATCAAGGATACCAGGCAAGAAATTCTTGGGCACTGGTAACTTTTATGCCATGAGGGTGGGTTCAACACCAGTACCTGTCCTGTCAACGGCACTCTGGACCTCCTATCCGGTCTTGAGAAGTTTTGAAGCGATTGGTAGGTCGTACCTTACTCAAAACAACTTTCTAATGTCTGAAACGCCTCGTTCGGTGTCCTTAATAAGCAAAGCAAATTCACTCTCAGATGAATGCAAGTATAACATTTGCCAGGTGGCAGTGGAGAGAGAAAAACCTACTCAAATTCGACCGGGACTTCTGGCAACTGACTACTACATTGTGGGATTATTGTATCAACATCGAATTCAGATGGATTGATTAGCCTTAGGTGGGTTAATCTCTTCCTGATTAGTCCTGCTTTCTGAAGATCTGATGTGAGCTTAACTCCCAACTTCAAGTTTGAAGTTAATCCAGAAATGCTCACGCCTCGAATTGATATAAAATGGGCGCAAAACGATGGACACGTGACCCTTTGATGGCAAATTCACACAGTTTGCTCTGGATCACGTGTTTCACATTGTCGAACGTCAGGAGTAGGATGTTGGGAAAAACAGTAAGGAAGCTAAAAAGAATCTAAGACCAAATGAACCACTTGCCGGCATTTCGGGATTTGATGTCTTATGACACCTATGTTCACCCAGTTTGAAACGTGAACTAGATATCGAGAAATACACTCATTTGCAAATCAATTTGGTTTTCACGCCAGACTCAACTGAATCTCTCGTTTATCACATGAGTCTCTCATGAAAACCAAATTGATTTGCAAATGAGTGTATTTCTCGAAAACAGTCCCACTTGTATTCAAGAAGAACATACGGTTGACGGAATCTCTGGGACTGCGCGCCTACCTGATGAGCCCCAAAAGGGCGAAACCGGTCGTGGGCTGTCGAAGAGTCTTCAGCAACCTTGTGAGTAGTTTCCATTGTGAACTAGTTTGTTTGTTTTGGCTAGAGATCACGAAACGTTCACCCAGTAGCTTCGAATTCGGGCGAAGACTGCCACAAGCCTTGCATTCAGCCGAGATTTCTCCCTGTATTTCAGGTCAGCCGAGCTGTTTCATCCTTATTACGAAGCATCGTCGGATGCGCCTTTCACGAAACTCCAGTCGAACCTTGGCGGCTGGTAGTTTGAACACTTGGGCTTTCGACCAAGATGGGTCGAACAGCACTCTGATTTGGCAGGCTGAGCGAATAACATGATATGCTATTGGATAATCTGACCACATTCTTTCCTGGGCAAATTTGATTGGATCCAATCATCACGTGCTGAACAAGATTCTGATTGGGCTTCCTGCCTCATGTTCGAGTCGAGAGAGAGGGAGATTCGAGGCTCTTCATGGTTTCTTCTACACTGCTGAGCCTTTTGATACACAAATGAGCGATTTTTAGACAAAATGGATATCCTACGGAAGCATGATTTCGAGGGCACAGTGGCTGCGAAACAAACAGAAAATTAGTTACGACGTGGTCAGAAACAGTCACTAGGATTACATTTTGTACTTTTCTCATAAGGAGCCTGAGGTAGCTCAGATTTTAAGGTAGAAACTTACTGATCGAAAGGTCCGTGGTGCGAACCCAAAACCCGGTACCTAGAATAGTCCTGTCTAGGCTTGGCCAACTGACTCGTGCCTCCGTCGAGTGTGCGTTGAGTTTACATGCCTCCAAATGTAACAAATTTGAAGAGATCTTCACTACAACTGATTGTTACACGATTGTTGAAATCGATATAGCTGGGACGAGACTCGGCGCATGGCTCAATTTAGTGGGCTCATGGTGATAGCCATCGATGGGGCTTAGATGCTAAAGTCTAGACTGGGTAAGATTTAAGTTCCGCGTCCATAACCCGTGTTAGGTTGGCCGCATGAGAACAGGTGGAACGTGAACTTTCAAGACCTCAGCGTGCGTCGATTCAATGAAAGTCCTGCAATGTGCGCGCAGTACACTGGACTAGTTTTTACTATCACGATGCTGTCAAGTGCGATTTACCTGTGTCGAGCATCCCCATGGGCAAAACTAATCTGGCCCGTTTCGAAAGCTTCACCGAGTTCAATGAACCTTGCTTGTGTATTAATGCAGAGTCCACAATCTCTAACAAGAAAGGTGCGTTCCAATTTGGTGAAATGGCTTCACAGACAAGTCCTTGTGTCCTTCGAATAACGGCTATGCGGCCAACGGGATCTGGTGACATAACAAAAATCAAACAGTTTTCTGAAATATCCATCCTAGGTTCTAAGGGAGTCACCCAGGCTATCAGCAAGGAGGTAACACAAGGCAGTGGTGCGCAGTAAAGACAACTCAGCCGTACTCCAATAGAAGAAGTCGAGCGGCGTTATCAAGGCTTCTCAGAGTCATCAAGTTGGTGAACAGTTCAGCGTAATTACCCTAACATCTGTACCAAAGTTCCAGGGGAAAAATATGGTGGTCCCCGTGTAGTGCATTCAGTTGAACACCTTAACGAGCCAGAGATTCAGGAATGTCTTGTAGAGTTTTCCCTCAGCTAATTTGTGCACGTGTGGGTGAGACACAGCCCGGCTCAGCAATGTCTTCTGTCAAGGTTCTTTCTACGGACAAATATCGGTCTGTCCATCCGCAACTTTTAGTAAAGGCAGCCAATAGCCGTTCACGTGGTTGTTAAAATACGGATGGAGATACCAGAAACGTTGGGTGCGCCGGAGATGAACATGCATGAGGTCTTCACGTGTCAAACTTACGACCAGTCTTTTGGGAACAGTGTGCTTAAATACACGACTGACTGACTAACTGACCGGCTGAATAACTGATTGACTGACTGACTGACTGACTGACTGACTCTGATTGGTTGACTGACTACTTGGTTGTCTAATTGGTCGGTTGAATGACTCATCCACCTGCACGTCCATTGGTGGATCGCTGACTCATCCTGGAGGGTGGTTTGGCTGGCTGTGGCCATTTAGATTCAGATACGATAATACGACTCATTCTGCAGAGACCAACCTCAAGCTCGTTAGTTTTAGCCAAAAATGTTTAGTCATGGGCCTCCCTTCATGGTCGGCCTCCATACCGTCTATTCAAGGGGGAAAGTACATGTTAACTGTGACTTAACACTCAGCTTTGCATTACGTTGAGTATAAATACTTCCAAAAGTAAGCCAGATGTATGAGAAATCACACGTTTGCACCGAAACTCTCCGGTGCTTCCTTCGTTCACGAAAGTGGAGCCAATCAATGCTGATGCGTCATGAGGAACTGTCAAGATGTTTCTTCCACCAGCACTGTGCATCTCGTGTAGAAGAATTGTTGTATTTCCTTATTTCAACGTCTCCGAGACTGGAAGTTGCACCTCTACGACTCGCTTGGAAGAATCCAACGCGGATGTACCTACGCATATTGCGTCCACTTATTAGGTCAATGGAGATTCAGATTATCCTAAGATGGCGACGGTGCTCACTTGCTTCAGAAAGTATGGATTGAAACATCACCCCGTTAAATCGACATTATTTGGTTTTCTGTTCCGAGAAACGCACAAGGAGCTGATCACCGAAAGCCATGAATTGAGAACACTCACAAGTCTTTCCCTCCCCAGCTTGTCGGAATATACCATTTCGTTCTGCAAGACATTCTGAAATGAAAAACTGTTCTCCAGTACAGTACTGATTTTGCTATCTGCAAAATCAGTTGTTCAACTTTCAGCATAAATTTCTCTCGAGGTGGCTGTAAGGAGGCTGTGATACATTCGTTGCAATCATCAAAGGGCGGGCCTCGTCAAATCTGCAAAGAAAGTCCTCCCTATGAAAATTCTGCCTCTTGAAAAGCAAATCTCTGAGCTACACACAAACTCGCATGAAATAGTACATATTTGGTTAGCCTAGTTGATACCAACTTTGATGTGTATATACACCGCGGTGAATGGGAGACAGAAAACACCGACCAGGATGAATGAAAACACAAATTTCGCAGCAAATGTTTGATGGCACCAAAATTCGATATTGCTGATCAAGTCAGTGGATTTGGGGAAGAACGCGTCAGACGGTAAATCATTCGTAACTCTCTACAATTCAGGTAATACTATGTCATTAAAAATCGGCCTGAATCCCGACGTCACTTTTTTCCGAAACGCAAATAAGAGACATGACGTCAGTGTTTTCTTCTGTAACATTGTATATTTGCCTGCGTCTAAAGGAAATGCTATTTTTAATAACATTCTGATGTCGAGTTAATTGGAACAGCATCCCACGACTGCTTTTGTTAAAAAAACACGTTAGACCATTTTCGTTTTTCTTCTCCTTGGTGTGTGTGCATAACCGATGTTGGCTCATAGAAACCGGACATACAGGTTTAATTAAAATCTATTCGCAAAAATTCCCTCAATAGATCTACCCCGTTGACCGGATGGTCTCCTTTTAGTTGGTACTAAAACTTCCACCCTACATCCGTTCAGCAACAGTAATTAACGGCCAGCTTTACTGCTCGGTTTTTCACTAACTGGACAGACAGGTTCATGTGTTTATTATGGTGAGGTGTGTAAGCTCAAATCGTGTGATCCTGAGATTTATTTGATTAAAGCTTTTTCTGCAGAGGTAGGACGGGTCGTCCTGTCGTCTGCACCATTGGTTGACGGATGCTCCCCAATACACTCAGGCCTACCAATCAGTCTTGACTTTTTCAATCAGTGATCGGCCATGACCTTCAGAGCGTGTTCCTATTGGTCAATTCGGTGTCGCTTCGCATGACGAATGGTTGTGCAACTTTGGTCAGCCTAAACACCTTGTCAGTTAGTCATGCTCATTTATTGACTTGTGAATGTTAAAACAGTCCGCTTTCGGGGGATCCTGCCACACGTGTTGAAGATAAATTCATAATCAGTTTACTTCAGTCCGATCTTGGAACCAACGTCCCTTTGGTTCTCTGTCTTGGTGGGGAAGCACTACACTTATGCATGCACTCTCTCAAAACAGATTTGCTGGCATTCAATTCTTTCGTCCGTGTAGCAAAGCCTTTAGCTGTCAAAATCAGCCTAGCAACCAGCGTTTGCGGGCAGTCGATTAAGATGCCGTTTGCAATGAAGCCCCGTACATGTATATCTTCGAATTTTGGGAAAAGGCCCCCAACTATTAGCCACGTGACTTGTCGGGGAGAAACTTGGCCTGCGCACATTTCTCTTCCCTTCTAAATCCCTGTGACCACGAGAAACAAAGCTACGCGGCAATAAGTACTGCAAACAACAGCTGTAATTTGTCGCGGTTTGTACTAAAAAAAGCAAGATCTTATTAAAATTCAACCCATCAAAATAAGTCCACGCTGCTGAATAGTACTGTGGCTGAGAAACAGAGTGATAGTTGACACCCAGTCGCCTAATACTGACCGGTTTGAATCCAACATATCACGAAAAGTATTGATCCTAGTGCTTACTTCCTATTTCGCCTGAAAGTTCGCCCTTGGGCTCCGTTGATTCGTAACAGACTACCGACAACTTGGCATCGAGGTTCTTGTGTCTCAACTCATTTTTACATATGAATCATAATGTCCCCGTTTCGTATCGATTTGGTTGACACTATTTTTAATACAAGCGTTTAGACGTGGGAGCGGAAAAACCATCAGGTTGGACCATTGTTTCTCCCAAGCGGGGTAGACGTAGGGTTGAAAGGGTCGAGATAAAGCAGGTATGGATTAGACTGGGGGTGGATAGGTACGTGATTATTCGCCACATTCTTTCCGCTTATCAGAACACGCAGAATGAACCGTGTAAAGCAATTACCACAAACGATTCAACGTAGAGCTTCAAATTTTACCTCATGCCGTCGACCGCAGTCACAGAACAGTGTGGAAGTGCGTAAAACGTTGATAAAACGCCAAAACAATATGATCAATATGAGAAGCATACTTCTGAGGTAAAGAGTAGCGTTTATTAGCTGTAAGACTTGAGGAACATGGGTAGTAACTGCGATTTGCAATATTTTGCGGTTTGAGACACTGAGGATGAGATGACGAGATCTGTTTCGAAGTGTGAAGAGGTGTGCGCATTCGCAACTGAGATTCACCTCTGTAGGTAAGGCCAATGTATTCAGGAAAGTCATGAAACACTGAGTATTTGTTACTTTCTTGATGAAAACCGAGTGCTTTGCGCATTTCAAAAGATTCAGGAGCGAAATTCGTCACCCAAGGAGCAGGTCAATGTCTGACCACGTGATGTGTTTACCGGTAGTGAAGGATGATAACGCAACTTCTTGTGTGGTTGGGAGCTACTCACTCTGTTGATCAGCCAGTCATGTTCCAACGGTCAAGTGTTCAACCACTAGATGGGAGGTCGCGAGTTCGAAATCCTATGAGTTGCGTGTGGTGGGTTCTTCTCGGCTCACCAGCACCTACGGGACCGTACCTCAGTTGATAGTATGATCTACTCAAGAGTGAGGGCAGAAGCTTGTAAGAAGTGGCTTGATGGTCAGGTGCATATGTCTGGGTTGAAATTTCAATAGTTCCGACAGATTGCGACGGACTGGAGGTTAGCCAAAATGGAGTGGGCTGTGTACACACGGCATAAAATACAAGGTGTCCCATAATAAACGCAAAAAACAATATTCATCTGTAACCTTTAACAATAATTTAAGCAATAATCATTTACATGCAAGGATACAAGCGTTATGCAGATTTACAGAAAATAAACGGGTAATGTTGAAAAAAATTGCCTTTTTCTTCCAAAAAAGTGGAGGCACTATAAGATGTGAGACACATGTTTAACTTCTTCAAGCGTCACTCGTGCACAGTCCTCTTCAATTCTTGCTCTCAACTCCACCAAATTCTTCGGTTTATTTTTATGATATACGCGAGCCTTGATCATTGCCAAAAACCAATAATCCACAAGTGAGAGATCGTGTGACCTTAAGGGCCAAATGTTTGGAAATCCACGAGCAATGACTCTCTCATCAGAAAATTGCTCTCGGAGGTAAGTTCTTACCTGGTTTGAGTAGTGGGGTGGGGGACCATCTTGTTGAAATGAAGGTAGCGTCTCACAATACGATGCACGCTGGCCAGGGGAACGTCGGTCAACTGAGACACTTGAGCTATTGACGAAGATGTTATGGTGCTCTGGGACTGAAGTTGCTTGACGGCATTCTGTACAATGGGTACTCTTCCATCACTCAGAGACTTTCTCCCTTTGCCAGAAAAATCCAATACACATCCAGTAGACTCTAATTTCCCAAT